GTTTCGCTCTTGTTACCCAGGCTGGAGTGCAATGGTGCGATCTCGGCTCACCGCAACCTCCGCCTCCTGGGTTCAGGCAATTCTCCTGCCTCAGCCTCCTGAGTAGCTTGGATTACAGGCATATGCCACCATGCCCAGCTACTTTTTTTTTGAATTTTTAGTAGAGACGGGGTTTCACCATGTTGACCAGGATGGTCTCGATCTCTTGACCTTGTGATCCACCCGCCTCGGCCTCCCAAAGTGCTGGGATTACAGGCTTGAGCCACCGCGCCCGGCCTTATATGATTTATTTATTTATTTATTTGAGATGGAGTCTCACTCGGTTGCCCAGGCTGGAGTGCAGTGGTGCGATCTTGGCTCACTGCAATCTCCAACTCCTGGGTTCAAGCGATTCTCCTGCCTCAGCCTCCTGAGTAGCTGGGACTGCAGGCGCCCACCACCATGCCTGGCTAATTTTTGTATTTTTTGGTAGGGACAGGGTTTCACCATGTTGGCCAGGCTGGTCTTGAACTCCTGACCTCAGGTGATTCACCTGCCTCGGCCTCCCAAAGTGCTGGGATTCCAGGTGTGAGCCACTGTGCCCAGCCTCTCCTGTCCTATGTGGTAACCACCACCCATATGGGGCTACTGGGCTCCTGAAATGCAGCTACGCAACTGTCAGGGGATGAATCTTTAACTTCATTTAATTTTTGTTATTCTGAGTTTACATTTAAATAGTCACCTGTGTCTAGCGGCTAATGTATCAGACAGTAGAGCTCTCGTCTTATTATTCATAGGAACACAGCATAACCCCCATTGACAGCAGTTAGGATCCCAGGAATAGGCTTGTTGGGAGAGGCCCTTCAATTTATTGAATGAAAAAAACTCAGTTACCAAAAGTCACTGCGCTCAGTCTCCACAGAGGTAGAAATTCACATCACTTCTTGGAGACTTATAGGAGCTTCGAGAAACAAAACTTCTCCCAGGAAGAGTCAAGAGAGCAGTGACATTTCCTATACAATGTCCAAACTGGCCGGGCATGGTGGCTCACACCTGTAATCCCAGCACTTTGGGAGGCTGAGGTGGGTGGATCACTTGAGGTCAGGAGTTCAAGACCAGCCTGGCCAACATGGTGAAACCTCGTCTCTACAGAAATACAAAAATTAGCTCATGGCGGGTGCCTGTAATCCCAGCTACTCGGGAGGCTGAGGTGAGAGAATTGCTTGAACCCGGGAAGCAGAAGTTGCAGCGAGCCAAGATCACGCCATTGCACTACAGCCTGGGTGACAGAGTGAGACTGTGTCTCAAAAACAAAACAAAACAAAACAAAACAAATGCTCAAGGCCAATCCCAGGTCCTGGTGTCAGCCCTTGCATGTGGCACTGGCAACGGCAGCCCGAAAGGTTACCTGTGATTTGTTTCCAGTGCTCTCCTGGGAGCGTCCTGAAAGCTGGCAGTGTTTCTGTCTGGTCCGAAGAGACCTCATTCATTTGGGGTTGTACCAGCAACTTTAAAAGTGTTTTTTCTTCCCTCTCCCAATGTTAATAGATTTTGGAAGAGGCATTTTTGTTTCTAATTACAAATTCCTGGGTGATGTCATTAAGCCCCCAAACCCCCGGTGAGGGCTGCGCTGAATAGAGAAAGACAATATGCTAACAAGTTATCTGAGGGTGTCAGAAAGAAATGATGAAAAACAGTACAGTTGGGGAAATGTTTTCCAGCCTGCTTTCTGGTTTGAGCAACTGCATGGGAAGAGATAAGATACACATGGCTTTTATAAGGAGCCATTGGGATCTCTAGGGGACATGAGGCAGGAGAAAAGAATTGGGCTGAAAGCATCCAATCATCACATACTCACTGAGAAAGAGATTACAGTATAGCAAAAGAAGCTCTTCAAGGGCTCCTACAGGGACCTTTGGGGCAAAGATTCAGTGGGCTTTGGGACAGCTTGACTTCAACTAGATGGTATTTGAATAATCTGCTAGAGAGAAAACAGATATAGCACACATTGTCACATTTAGCGTTGAAACTCTCGGTTTGACTATGAGTAATGTTCAGCCATGCCCGGGGGTGAGGCCTATACTCACTTAGAAACAAGTGGGGAATTGAAGCAATTATTCAGATAATCCATAGACATCGCTACTGGCCCGTGCCGCATCCCTGATTTAGCCCAGAAACAGTAACGTTATTATGAGCTGTTGGTGATTTGTGGAGCAATCTTGAATTTATTAAGGAAAGGAGATTATAGAAAAGTCCAGAATGCCAATGGGATGCATTCAGATTGAGTCATGCAGAGTAAGGTGGGAAATTGAGGGCCTCCCACCCCCACAAGAACATCTCACTTTAGGCCAAAATGGAAATAAAACTTTGGGTTGAAATTTTGCACATGGTTCATACTGTTTTTACATGTGTAGTTGATAAATTTCATGTTGGATTGTATGTGGATCGAAAAGCAGAAAATGGTAAAATGGCACATTAAGAATTTTGAGATAATATAAATTATTATTATTTACAGCTGTTTCTTAATTAGTACCTGCCCGTGATTTTGAGTGGGTTAGCCAGTGGGAAAAATGCGTTCATTTTCTTCAGTTGTTCAAAACTACTTTGAACGGAATATGGTTTGCCAGCTTATAATGGAAAACCCAGATACCAGAAGCTTAGGTAAGATTTATGTTTCTTATTTATTGCATAATCTAGAGGTAGAGAGTTAGAGGCAGAGGTATAATCCAGAGGCAGGTGTTCTTGTGGTGTGGATTTTAAGGTCCGGTTTTTTAAATCTTTCCCTGAACGTCTTTTTCCAGGGAGAAGGGCAGAGGGATCACTGAAGTCTACACTCCTACCTGCTATCACCTTTAAGGACTTTTTGGGGAAACCCCAGCTAATGACTCTGACATCTCATTGGCCAGAGGTCTGTTAAATGGCCATGCCTTGTTGCAAAGGAGGCTGGGAAATGTAGTTTTCATCTCCCCACCAAGTTGAAATCATGTTATTGGTACTAAGAAAGAAGGGAGACTCGGCAGGGCGCCACGGCTCACTCCTGTAATCCCAGCACTTTTGGAGGCTGAGGCGGGCGGATCACCTGAGGTCAGGAGTTCGAGACCAGCCCAGTCAACATAGTGAAACCCCCGTCTCTACTAAAAATAAAAATTCGCCAGGCATGCTGGCATGAGCCTGTAATCCCAGCTACTCGGGAGGCTGAGGTGGAAGAATGGCTTCAACCCGGGAGGCGGACATTGCAGTGAGCCGAGACTGAGCCACTACACTCCAACCCGGGTCACAGAAAAGTTAAAAAAAAAAAAAAAAAAAAGGAACACTCACTTAGAGGTAATTACATCAAGTAGACTTTACCATTTCAAAGAATTAAAAAACACTGAAAATTATCTAGTTTTAACAGAAATCATCCTAACTCAGTAGATTATAGGGCCAACTTTTATTTTTAGCTAATTACCACGGAGCAAAATAATCATTATGTATAATAATTATATATGTCGAGGAGACAGTTAAGGGTGTGTGCTCTAAGAATGTGAACCTCATTCTTACTGGGTGAGCTTCACTGCACTTCTCCTGGGGGTTTTTTAAATAAATTAGGTGTGTCTTTGTCCATCAGCAACTGAGTCTCCCTCTATTAGCATCATTGCGGAGTAGTGCACTCCTGAGAACTAAATGAAGAGCTTCAGTAGTAGTTTCATAAACTTGAAATGCAGTGTCTAGAGCAAGTTCAACTTCATTAGCGATTTGAAGAGAGATTTATTGAGCCAAAGGGAAGACCTCTCTGAATAGAGTGTGTCTGCCTTGATTTAAGTAACTAAAACAACCATGGCATTTGAGTGGTGGTTAGGTTCAGGTCTGAAACAATTTCTTTGTGAGTCAACTGTTATTAGTGGTGGAAGAGGGGATAGGGATGAAGAGAAGGGCTGGGACTAGTAGAGACCATGGCGGGGCATAGGGGCCGTTCACACAGGGTCTTGTGGGCACATTACCAGATTGAATTTTGGCCTGTGGTTCAGTGGTTGGAAACTCCTTCAGGGCCAGGCAGTATGGGGCTGGCCAGGGTACAGAAATAGAGAAAGCTGAAAAACTGCAGGACTGTAAGGCACCTGACTCCCCAAAGCAGTGGTCACTACCTGGCTCTAGAGGATTGATTCCATGGGAGACTAAAGACAGTGCTATAAGCCAGTTAGTTTTTTGTTTATTTATTTAGTTTGAAACGGCATCGATCTTGTTGCCAGGCTGGAGTGCAGTGGCGCAATCTCAGGTCACTGTGAACTCCATCTCCCTGGTTCAAGCGATTCTCCTGTCTCAGGCTCCCAAGTAGCTGGGATTACAGGTGCCCACCACCATGCCCAGCTAAGTTTTGTATTTTTAGGTAGAGACAGGGTTTCACCATGTTGGCCAGGCTGGTCTTGAACTCCTGACCTCAGGTGATCTGCTTGCCTCGGCCTCCCAAAGTCCTGGGATTATAGGCGTGAGCCACCGTGTCCAGCACCAGTTAGAGGAAAAGCCCAATATTGAAATGCTTATATGAAATCTGGTTTCATAATGTTGGATCAAATTTTATCATGTCGAGTCAAGTGCTGAGCAAAGGTGACCACAGTTGGCAGCTGTTTTATGGGCAGCATGGCGCTAGCAAGGCTCTCTGAGACGACATGGATGCTTTCTCTTCCTCTTCCTCTTCTCTGCCTCCACCTCTTGCTTCTCCCCTCCCTGCCTCCTCTGATGTGAGGTTCTCTCCAGCAGCCATGGCAAGGAGGCTTTTGAATGGAGCGGAGGGTAGCACAAGGCAGGTAAGGTAGGCATCACCTAACGGCAGGAAAGCCAGGTAGAATGTCCTGGTCACAGTCAGGATTTGATTGGTTGTGAGTTGGAATTAAGGCAATGACAGTGAGGACGGAAAGGTGGGCTGAATTCTGGAATGATTTCTCAGGTGGAATCATGGGACTGACTCCTGATTGGATAAGGCACAGGTGCGTGTCAGGAAAGGGAGGATTTAAGGGAGTGATTTTGCGTGAGGTCGACGTCACCATCTGGGATCTTGGCAGCTGAACCTACTGCACAGGGGTGTTCTGTTGAACAGAAGGGATTAAAATTTCTTTTGAATCGATTTTCAGTTCTTAAGAAAATGTAAGTACTTATACTCGAAGCTAGACTTCCACCTCCTTTTGGAGAAAAAGAAATCAGAGTATTAGGCATAGATTCCCATAAAGCGACAACAGCTGGAGCTGAGGGGTGGGGTCGGGCTTGGGTATGGGGGGAGGTACAAGATTCCCCAGTGTTTCCTTGCCCGGCCTGCCTTCTGTGAGTATTTGAGTCTGTGACCCATGAGAAAACTGGTTGTGCAAGTCATAGGAATATACGAGATCATTCAGGCAGAACAAGAATTCCAGGCAATGACCACATTTCAGGACAGACAGCAGAGGGGAAGATTGCAAAGGGGATTGAGAAGCGTGGACTGGGAGAGAGGGAACGCAGCAGGAAAGCAAAGTGGAGTAAAAGATAGAAGAGAGGAACCTGCTGTACGAGGCTGCTGAAGAGCCGAGTAGCATGCGGTTGAAATGGGTTGTTCATGTAAATGTGCCGCGTTGTGGTGGTGGTGAGGGTGTCGGAGCCTATTAACGTGAAAAGGAAAAGTGTGTGCTCAATCAGCCTGCAGGTGCAATTCTCTGTATCTGCCCTAGAGAAATGAAATTCTCACAGGTGCACAGGGAGAAGGGGGAAAGGGTGCCCTTTGTTGCATTATTGATTGTTACAGTGAAGAACTAGAAGCAACCTGAAGGTCCATCAGGAGTTCGAGACCAGCCTGGCCAACATGGTGAAACCCCGTCTCTACTAAAAACACAAAAATTAACCGGGCATGGTGGTGGGCGCCTGTAATCCCAGCTACTCAGTAGGCTGAGGCAGGAGAATTGCTTGAAACCCAGGAGGTGGAGGTTGCAGCAAGCAGACATCGGGGCATTGCACTCCAGCCTGGGCATCAGAGCAAGACTCCATCTCAAAAAAAAAAAAAAAAAAAAAAAACAAATAAAACAAAACACTCACACAAAAGTAGAGTTATAGGTAAATATAGCGTTAGAGGTAGCCTGTGCTGTGGCTTCCTCCCCTCTCCTCCTCCCTCCTCTTCCCTCTAATTTTAACTCCACTTCTTTAGAAACAGGATCTGAAGAAAATGCATCGCACGTACAATACTAGATACTCTTGATGTTCCTGAGATTGGGAATAAGTGGTTAAAAGTGAATTTAATATTTACCTTTCTCTTTAAGTTGTTAATTACCGTTTTAACGAAGAAAGTGCTGTTCTGTATCACTTGTGCAATTAGAAATTAATGTAAAGCACAGCACAATGGATTTAGTGTTTCTCAAGGGCTGTTTCAGCAGCGGTGGGAACATAGATTACAACATTTTGTGAAGTAAATGGGAGGTAAAGCGGCAGAAATTGATATTGAGGGGAGGAGCAACGTAAGGCTGCAGGGTGGCTGGGATGGGGTAGGGGAAGAGAGTCAAGGGGAACTTCTGTGTTGGGTCGCTTTTAACTGGAGCGACCCAAAAGCTCACTGAAAGGGCACGTTCCCTTCTCAGAGGGTGTTGTTGCTGCAGTTCAGCAATGGAATTTGTTTCTGAGTTGAGATCACTCCTGTAATTTACATCCCAACTCTTCGGATCCAGAAAAGCCTAGAAGGAATTTTGGTGAGAAATATAAGTAGTCTGATTGGTGGGATCAAACTATAGTCTTTGTATAAAAGCTAAACATTTGTATGGGAGAAATGCTGCTTGAACTAGGATACAAAGGAATGTCCACCGATGGAGAAATTATTAAATGTTATAATAATCTATGGGTAGACTATTAGGTAGTTACTAAAAATAATGTTTTCCAAGTTTTAGAAAAATTTTAGAACATTGGAAAATGCTGGTAATACAATGATGAGTTTTTAAAAGTGCATGCTATAAAACTTTACGCAGTTGAGTGCTTACAAAATAGTATTTATGCATAAGAAAAAAAGAAAAAATAGTTAAAATGTTAACAGTGGTTCTCTCTGGGTGATGGGGAAATTGGTGATTCTATTTTTCAAGCATTTCTGTTGACACAACAATTTTCCATCAAAAACATGATTACTTTTATAATTCCCCGAAGGAACTGTTTTTAAAACTGTAGTTTGAAAATCATTTAGGAGGGAAGGCAGCCAAGGAAGGGTTCCTGTTTGGCAAAGAATCAGGCAGGCAGGCCCAAAGCAGCCTGGGCTTGGGGTTTGGAGTCTTTTTTCCTCCCACCTTTTCCCCAAATATCAAATGTCAGGCTTCTACACAGTGAAGAGGACCCAGAACCATCAAATTCCCCAAGACTGGGTAACAAAAGTCAACGCTTTCCCGCTCCCAACTCAAGGGGCTGTTGTGTGTTCTTAACTTTGTAAGCGAAACAGAGAACTCTAGGGAACTGTAGACACAAGCTAGCAACAAAGATGTGGCCTCTGTCTCCTCAGGCTGACCTGAGCGAGTTGTGTGATTCAGAGAGAAGAACTTTGCATACCTCCCTCATACTGACTGGACCCCCACCCCCACTTTCCCCTGCGTGGCAGGGGGGTGGTTGCAGCCTCGTGATTAAGTCTGTAAGCTGGGAATTACACACTCCCATTTGGAACCCTTGCTTTTTTGCTTAACAGTTCCTGTGGCTTCTGGCAAATTCTTTTTTTTTTTTTTTTTTTTTTTTTGAGACGGAGTTTCGCTCTTGTTACCCAGGCTGGAGTGCAATGGCGCGATCTCGGCTCACCGCAACCTCCGCCTCCTGGGTTCAGGCAATTCTCCTGCCTCAGCCTCCTGAGTAGCTGGGATTACAGGCACGCGCCACCATGCCCAGCTAATTTTTTGTATTTTTAGTAGAGACGGGGTTTCACCATGTTGACCAGGATGGTCTCGATCTCTTGACCTCGTGATTCACCCGCCTCGGCCTCCCAAAGTGTTGGGATTACAGGCTTGAGCCACCGCGCCCGGCCCGGCTTCTGGCAAATTCTGTTAAGTTCTTTACAGCTCAGTTTTCTCATACGTAGAAAGAGGATGAAGAACCCCACCTCACTGGGTTCCTCTGAAGATTCAATGGAATAAATCATAAAGGAGAACCTGCAACAGTCACTGAATCAATGATTTCATTCTCAGGTTCTCTAATTTTGTTTTGCTTTCATCTAGCCTCATGGCCATAATTCAAGTGATAAAATCAGAAAGGAAATGGCCGGTTGTGGTGGCTCTTGCCTGTAATTCCAGCACTTTAGGAGGTGAGGTGGGAATATTTCCTGAGGCCAGGAGTTAGCATAGCTCAAAACATTCTCTACAAAAAAATTTGAAAGATTAGCTGGACGTGGTCTTAGGAAGCTGAGGCAGAGGATCTCTTGAGCTCAGGAGTTTGAGGCTGCAGTGAGCCATGTCTGTGCCGCTGCATTCCAGCCTGGGTGACAGACCCTGCCTCAAAAGAAAAAAAGAAAAGAAAAGGGATTTGAGGAGAAAGATTCTCTTTTTAATCTGCAGATTTTTATTTTTTTATTTTTATTTTTATTTTATTTTTTTTGAGACGGAGTTTCGCTCTTGTTACCCAGGCCGGAGTGCAATGGTGCGATCTCGGCTCACCGCAACCTCCACCTCCTGGGTTCAGGCAATTCTCCTGCCTCAGCCTCCTGAGTAGCTGGGATTACAGGCACGCGCCACCATGCCCAGCTGATTTTTTTTTGTATTTTTAGTAGAGACGGGGTTTCACCATGTTGACCAGGATGGTCTCGATCTCTTGACCTTGTGATCCACCCGCCTCAGCCTCCCAAAGTGCTGGGATTACAGGCTTGAGCCACCGCGCCCGGCTAATCTGCAGATTTTTAAAGCAAGGGTCCCACATTACAGGTTTGGCAAGGTTTTCATTCAAGTCAATGAACACATCTGTGGAATACTGTCGTGTGCTGAAACTTCCTTTCAGTATACAATCAGATCTCACAGAGGTTTTATGGTTCTGCCACGTTTTCTTCAAATAGGTCCTGAAAACAGCCGTTCCTCCTTACCTCTTCTGCGACCACGGTAATCTAAGGTAGCTTCATCTCTCACTGAAGGATAATTTTCATTCTTCCCACTTCCAGGGAACTTCAGAATCAACCAAAGTAGGAGAAGAGCCGCTCTGGAGAGCGTAGCATGAGGTATGAAGCCCAGGGACTTTGGAGGCTGGGAGACCTGGGACCCTGAACCCCGCCTTGGTCAGTTACTCACTTGCCTGCAGTCCCCAGGTAGCAAGGGGCAAAGCCGCTGTTCACACTCACAGCTTCCAGGTTCTGGAGACCACACTCTGTTTTTTCATTCATTTTGTTCATTTGTTTGAGACGGAGTCTTGCTTTGTCACCCAGGCTAGCGTGCAGTGGTGGGATCTTGGCTCATTGCAACCTCCACCTCCCAGTTTCAAGCAATTCTCTTCCCTCAGCCTCCCGAATAGCTGGGATTACAAGCACCTGCCATTGCACCCAGCTAATTTTTGTATTTTTAGTAGAGACAGGTTTCACCATATTGGCCAGGCTGGTCTTGAACTCCTGACCTCATGATCTGCCTACCTCAGCCTCCCAAAGTGCTGGAATTATAGGCGTGAGCCACTGGTTCCGGCCCACACTCTGGACCACGAGTCTTAGTCTTCCATTATAGAGCGAGCATCAATGTGCAGCCACAGTCTCTGCATTACTAGGGAAGTGCCTCTCCTGGAGGTCTGTAAATGTTACTATTAAAAAGATTGTTGCGACTCACCCTTCCTCTCTGCTTTACCAACACCACGAGGGAGAAATTTATCCATCCAACATGTCCTAAGATTTGGGGACTGCTGCTTTACAAAATACAATATGTAGCTGTAAAATTTTCAGCGGCAGCTTTTTATTTTATTTTTTGAGATGGAGTCTCACTCTGTTGCCCAAGCTGGAGTGCAGTGGCACAGTCTCAGCCCAGCTCAACCTCTGCCTCCTGGGTTCAAGTGATTCTCCTGCTTTAGCCTCCCAAGTAGCTGGGATTACATGGCTGATTTTTGTATTTTCAGTAGAGATGGGGTTTCACAATGTTGGCCAGGCTGGTCTCGAACTTCTGGCTCTAGGTGATCCTCCCACCTTGGCCTCCCAAAGTGCTGGGATTACAGGAGTGAGCCACCACACCCAGCCCACTGTGGCTTTCTAAAGCCAGACTGAGAGTTAACCAGATCTGCTGAGGTCTTTCCTTACTTACACCTACTAAAGGTGAATTGATTGTTCCTTTTGTTAATGAATACATCAAAATACTCATATCTTTTATTAACCTCAGATAAAAGATCAATAGAGTGTCGGAGAAGTTGTTTCTAATACAATTTTTTTGAAAGAGGGAGAAGCAGCTTTTCAAAATGAAAATGAGGTCACTATTTCATTCACATCACTGTTCGTCTCGTGAAGTTCATTTTAGGCCGGGTATGATGGCTCATGCCTGTAATCTCAGCTCTTAGGGAGGCAGACATGAGAGGGTAGTTTGAGTCCAGGAGTTTGAGACCTGCCTGGGCAATATAGTGAGACCCCATTCGCCACAAAAAGGAAAAAGAAAAGATTAAAAAAAAAAAAAGCGTGAAGTTCATTTTATTTTATTATTATTTTTGAGACAGAGTCTTGCTCTGTTACCCAGGCTAGAGTGCAATAGTGTCGTCTTGGCTCACTGCAACCTCTGCCTCCCAGGTTCAAGCGATTCTTCTGCCTCAGCTTCCCGAGTAGCTGGGACCATAGGCGTGCATAGCCACATCTGGCTAATTTTTATATTTTTAGTAGAGATGGGGTTTTACCATGTTGGCCAGGCTGGCCTTGAACTCCTGACCTTGTGATCTTCCAGCCTTGGCCTCCCAAAGTGCTGAGATTATAGGTATGAGCCACCATGCCCAGCCAAGTCATTTTATTCAACCTGATCCTATAAAAGAATCTCATTTTGGTTTAACTTTTTAAGGCTCCCTTACAGATAACTTGAAAGTTTAGCTGAGAGTATTTATTTCCAAATTCCACAGTTGTCTTAAGAAATCTTTGGAAAAAAGCAAAACATGGTGTACAAAATGGTTCAATGTGGTGTTATCTAAAATAGTATGGTTTGTGGTAATTCCATGTACAATACAGCAAAAGAAAAATGACTTACTTGAGGCTTGTTACATTGACACCATGAGATATCTTGTAGCCATAAAATTGTAATCGTGTAGTTTATGAGAAAAAAAAAACAAAGCGAAATATATCTGATATTATTTTAGGTACACAAAGCATAAAACAAAATAGTTTCCACTGAATCGGGCAGTTAGCCAGCGAGCATTTTATTGAGTGCCTACTGTATGCCAGCTACTTTCGTAAGTATAAAATGATCAATGTTGAAACTATTTGCAGGGACTGTGTAAAATTAAGATTGTGCCAGGGAAATGAGATTATGATGGTTTCTTTTCCATTCTCTCCTCTGACATTTAAAAATATGTTGTGGTTTCATAATAACAAAAAATACATATCTGAAACAGCATCATGATAAAAATTGCAGATTTTGTGCTAACTTGATACGAGGCACTGCTCTGAGCAGTGCGTGTCTGTTTCTGATTTATTTCTATGATGATGGTATTATTACCATAGAATAACACCATTATTATCATAATAGCACCACCCCCATTTTATAGTGAAGAAACTGAGACAGGATGGTCAAGCTCAGTGTCTTAGTTTGAACAAGCTCTCCCACGTAGCTCAGTGGGAGAGATGGGGTATTTTTTTTTTTTTTTTTTTGACATGGAGTCTCACTCTATCTCCAGACTAAAGTGCAGTGTCGTAATCTCAGCTCACTGCAACCTCTGCCTCCCGAGTTCAAGCCATTCTCCAGCCTTAGCCTACTGAGTAGCTGGGACTACAGCCGTGCACCACCACGTCCAGCTAATTTTTTTGTATTTTTGGTAGAGATGAGGTTTCACCATGTTAGCCAGGATGGTCTTGATCTCCCAACTTTGTGATCCGCCCACCTCAGCCTCCCAAAGAGCTGGGATTATAGGCATGAGTCACTGTGCCTAGTGAGAGCTGAGTTTTAGAATCCATGTTCTTAACCATCCATATGATTCAAGAGAATCATACAAGGCTCTGCAACACGATGATGCATGTGGCATCTCCCATTGTATTTTCTGGACATTTGGCCTTTGGAGTGGCTCCCTCCCATTATTCTAGGGTGTTCTGTGCTTTTCTTATTTATCATTCCTCTAGACCTTTACTTACAGGCAATACTCAGTCAGGAGTTGACTAAGTCAAACAATTTCCCTCTTATAAAAGAGCCCAAGGATAATGTTCATTTTTTTTTTCTTTTGAAAGTCTCTATCAGCTCCCTGAGATTTTCACAGAATTTTTCCTGCATGCCCAGCACTCCAAGTTTCAACCCACAAGGCTAACTCAGTTCACCAGACAAGCAAACACTTACACTGAGAAGACAGTGATAAACACAGGAAGTTATTTCACCCTGGGAATATTCCGGAAACCAACTTTGAATAATTGCTTCATGTTCAGTTGGACACAAGCTCACTCCCAGGTTGACTCACGTATGTAAATGCTCCTGACTAGCGTCTGACCACATTGCACACACACACCCCTACCTTTCCCAAATGCTAACTACCCAGCTTGAATCAGCCCCTCCTGATTCAGAGCCCTGAGTCCTTCATCAACCCGGGCTCCTGTCTTTGTCTTCTACCCTCATCCAGTCCAACGGCAAACCCGACCCTCCCCGTCTTCTAAATAGATCCAGAATCTGATCTCTCTTCTCCATCCTGCAGCAGCACCTCTGTCAAATTCCATTAATCACCAAGCTGTGTGACAGCAACAGCCTCCAAACGCCTCTCCCAGTTTCTGCCATTGGAAGGCTTGGAGCTGATCTGACTTCAATTTTATTTTTATTTATTGATTTTTTGAGACGAATTCTCTTTCTGTCCCCCAGGCTGGCGTGCAGCGGTGCGATCTTGGCTCACTGCAACCTCTGCCTCCCAGGTTCAAGCAGTTCTCTGCCTCAGCCTCCTGAGTAGCTGGGATTATAGGTGCCTGCCACCACACCCCACTAAGTTTTTTGTATTTTTAGTAGAGACAGGGTTTCACTATCTTAGCCAGGCTGGTCTTGAACTTCTGACCTCAGGTGATCCACCTGCTTCGGCCTCCCAAAGTGCTGGGATTACAGGAGTGAGTCACCACACCTGGCCCTGACTTGAATTTTAAAAGACTCATTCTGGCCACTGTGTGCAGGGCATCACTGCAGAGTTAGCAGCTTAAAACAATACCCATTTGCTATCACATCCCGTCCCCTTTCCCTGACTTAGTATTTTGGGGTGTGTGGCACTTATCAACATTAATAAAACTGTATTTCTTTTTTCCTATTTGTTTATTTATTACTATTATTTTTGCTTATGTAACCTCTTGAATTGATTATCTTTGCTCATTGTGGAGGGCACGTCTTTCTCTGGATCAATTTCTATCTGCTTTTTTCCTTTACATCTAACATAGGTGCTCCGCAAGGATTTGGTTCCCTGTGCAATCTATACATATATTTTTGAGATGGAGTCTCCCTCTGCAGCCTAGGCTGAAGTGCAGTGGCGTGATCGTGGCTCACTCTAACTTCCACCTCTTGGGTTCAAGTGATTCTCCTGCCTCAGCCTCCTGAGTAGCTGAGACTACAGGCATGTACCACCATGCTCCACTAATTTTTGTATTTTTAGTAGAGACGGGGTTTCACCATGTTGGCCAGGATGGTCTTGAACCCCTCACCTCAGGTGATCCACCTGCCTTGGCCTCCCAAAGTGCTGGGATTACAGGTGTGAGCCACTCACTGCACCCAGCCACTGATCCAATACTTTACAAAGTCTGGGCTCAACAACTTGCAACTGTTTACTTGCTGCAGGCATTCTCAGAGCCTTGAATATCCTAACAGGTCTCGGGGAACCTCAAGAAAAAGACAACAGTGAGTGTTTTCAAACCATGCTGTTGTCTCAGATGCCTCCAGGGCTTGCTCACTTTGTCCTTCAGGTTCATGCAATCTGCCCACCTTGGTATCCTAAAGTGCTGGGATTACAGGCGTGAGCCACCGCACCCGGTCTCTGTTTTTCCTATTTATTATCTGACTTGCCCTGCTAGACCGTAAGCTTCAGGAAGGCAAGAACTTTGTCTCC